TGTAAATATATATATATGTGTAATATATATAAGCATATATATATGTGGGCACATATATATATGAGGGGTCACTATGGTGGAACTGCAGCAGCTCCGGGTGCAGAAGGCAGTGGACTCCATGGTGAAGAGTGTGGAGAGAGAGAACATTTGGAAGATGCCTCATGTTCCAGTGCAGTGCCAACTGCATGAGGACAACAAGGCATCTGTGCAGCAGGTGCACCAGTGCCTCAAGCGCTGCCATATACCTCTAGCTCAGGCCCAGGCCTTGGTAACCAATGAGCTGGAAAAGTTCCAGGACTGCCTGGCCCCAGGGCACGATGCAACCCAATGACAGAGCCAAAGATTTGATGGATGCGGGGACTAAGGAGCTTCAGGTGAAACAACAGCTGGATAACTGTGTAGATGACCTTATGAACCTCATTCCAACTATGACCAAGAGGGTGAAGGAGTCTCTCTCATACCTTGGGAAATAAAAGTCTTTGCCAATGGCCATAGGGGTTTAGGGCAGGAAGTAAAACTTATGAATGAAGAAACTAAGGATGACAGCAAGTTTAAGACATTTCTCTTGCCTCTGGACCCTGATTCCTCTGTTTGGATACCGGAAAGTAAAATGGAAAAAAAAACTGGTGCTAAAGTTTGGGTCAACAATAGAACAAGAGAGTGTTTTAGAGCATAAATTTCATGTGGCAAGATTTTATCTGGCAGTAGAGATATCAGTTGTACCAAATGAGAACTCTCCAAAGTACCAGTGTCATCTTAACACTCAGATATTAGCAGGCTGGCAAGTTCCTCTGAGCTTCCTATGACCTGATGCAGTTGCAGAAGTGTCTCTATAGCTAATTTCCTATTTATCAAAACTATCACCACACTATTTTCTAAGCCATAAAACAAAATTCAGAGAACTAATTTACATGCTTGTAATCCCAGCATTGGAAGGCCGAGGTATGAGGATTGCCATGAGTTTGAGGCCAGCCTGAGCTACATAGTGAGTTCAAGATGAGCCCAAACTACATAACAAGACTCAATCTTAAGAGGTGAGGGGGCCCATACCTTCATTTTGCTTTTTTTTTTTTTTATATGCAAGCGCATGAAATGGATTTCAGATGTGGAGTTGAGACAGTAGATAAGAACTGTGAAAGGCCCCTTGTGGATGTCCTTTTCTAGTTATCAAGATACAGATATGCATGTCTTGATATTCTTACACTGTGTCTTTCAATCTAGAAAGGATTGCCCAACACAACTGTTAGTGTCACAAACTATATGGAAAACAGAGTTTTCACTGGCTGACAGGTCCTCATGCTTTTTGTGACAGTTAGCAGGACAATCTTGCAGTGACATTTTTCCCTTGAAAGGTAAAAAGTTTTGACTCTGATAAACTGAACTAGGAACTGTTGGTTAGTTAAGACAGTTGTGAACTACTGAACTGAAGAAAGTGGTTTTTATAGAACACAATGGAATAAAAGCCTAAACCCAGTACTGTTTTCTTAGCCTCCTGAATTACAGCGCCTTATTGACATAATCCCCTCGCAACAGAAAGGTCAAAAAGTTAAGCAATTTAAGCCAGGACTCCTTTAGCAAAAACCACTTTTACCTGGGACCTTTACAACATAGTGTTCCTGCCCTAGCATGGCACCTTATCTTTTAGATAAGGGATGTGTTGTCTTTTTACCAGTTTATTACTTGAAAGGCTAATATAGCATGTCTGCTGTGTGGGGCCTGTGATATATTTTCCTAGTGGTTTGGTCTCACAATAAAAAAGTTTCATTGTTTCCTCAAAAAAAAAATGTATGAGAGTGCTACAAAAATGGTGCTTTTGAAGGCTTATTGGTAGGATTTAATGAATGTGACAATGAAAAGGTAAGAACTAGAAATTTGACCTCAAGACATGGCCTCTCCAAGCACATGACCTCAAATAAATCCCCTTGATTTCCAGGTGGTGATTGATGCCTTCACCTGTGAAATGAAACCTCAATGGGGTTTTCATGAAAGTCAAATTATACAGTAAGGGACTAAAGGTAGAACTCATTGGTACAGCACTTGCCAACTGTGGTAAAACCCTGGACTCAATCCTTAGCACTGCAAGAAAAAATTAAGACAGTAGAGATCAAAGTGATCTCAAATGCACAACTGCTGTACAAGTGAAAATAACCTGAGGTGGTATTACCCTAATCATGTAGTAAGCCTGAAAGGAAAATTAAAAACAAAATTACAGGAAACCAGGAAGCTGGTCTTATGTTACAAGGTGTTGTTTTTAAACAGCTAACAGCAGATATCACACCAGGTACATCTCAATGAGAATGCGCCCACATAGCCCACAATTTATCTGGAATTTATCCTTCATCAGAATTCTAAGCTAACTGAAGATATGTAGTTGTGGAATTATTTTAAGTTTATTTACTAAGCTAAGAACTAAAACCAAAACAAAAGAACAGTATAGAGTGGTTGACATTTCAACAACAAAAAAACCTTTTTAAACTTCCGAAAAAATTAAATTAAAAAAGGGAGTCTAAAGAACATAAGAATACTAAATGGTTTTGTTGACACAAAAACAAAAAATATTTTTTACACCTGAAAGCATACTGATATTTTTTTAAAAGCGTGGCAAAGTCCCCAAGACACGTTGAGAAGGTAACCCATAGGTTAGGTTCAAGCAACAACAATCAGAAAAGTGTACATTTAATCTGTGATGTAATTACGAGGTTCACTTGCTTTGATTACATATTAAAGAGTTGGACTTCGATTCTCAGAAAAGGATATGAGTCTCTGATAAAGGGTAAGAAGCTAAGAACAAAGTGGCAGCTAAAGAGACAAGGAGTTGTCACCAAACAAGATCACAAAATCCAACATCTCACCCCACTCAGAACTGTCATATATAAGTCTACTGAACTATTCAGGAACTCAGGAAAAACAAACATGGGTTTCCTTATTAAATCTATTTGGTTCCATGTGTTAATTTTAATATAAGCATAATTCTGAACTTCTGTCCACAACTGAAGATGTGGTCCCTTCCTTAATTAAAATTGATTACATTTCCTGATTTTATTAATACTAGATTTCAATCATAGTCATCACTCAGTATCTACAGGAACTGGTTGTAGGACCTCTATGGACACCAAAATCCTGGGATGATCAAATGCTGTTCATAAAGTAACACAGTATTTGCCCAGAACCTATGCAGATTCTTCCATATATTTTAATTTATCTCCCAGTTACTTATAATAGGTAGTATATAAGGTAAATGCTAAATACATAGTTGTTATACTGAATTGCTTATGGAATAATAAAAGGAAGAAGTCTGTATTTGTTCAATACAGATAATTTAAAATATATATATATTTTTTGATCAGTGATTGGTTAAATCTATGTGAACCCATGGATACAGAGGACTGGATATAAAGTGCTAATATTAATAGCTATAAATTTAAAATGTGACTGTTCTAAAAAAAAAACAGCCTTGGTTTGGTCGAATAACTCTGGATATCAAATGTTCAGTCTCTTGCTTAGTGGAACTGAGATTTAGAAGATAAATTATAATATTGATTTAGAGAATCACTTATGAATTTCATTCAAGTCATGACATGAGGTAATTGCATAAAGGGCCATTCAAAAGTCTGTAATAGCTAAATCTTGGAAACAGTCCATTTGCCCATCAGTTGGAAATTGGATAAAGAAGATGTGGTTTTTCTATAAAATGGAATACTACTCAGCCATAAAGAATGAGAAATTAGATTCATTCATAGGAAAATAGATACATATTGAGGATATACTCCTAAGTGAAATAAATAAGTCATACATGTGTGTGTGAATAGTTTCTCTGGTGTGGAAAGCTATAATAGTACATAAGATCCTAATGAAATAATTGACCATGTGAAATAGGAAGAAAAGGGCTAAAGGTGTAGGGAAAGTGGGAAGGGTAGGGGAAAGGTAATAAGGGAAAAGAAAAAAATATGACAAAATGAAAAAATGGAAATAAAGTGTTTGTAAATGGGGAGGGGAGGAGGAGGTGAAGGGATGGCAGGGACAAGGGAAAAAAATGAGAACCAAGACCTGTCATGTAAAGATACAAGATCCCAATAATGAATGTAATTGTACTGTATACCTGAAATGTACCAATAAACTCAATAAAAGAAAGGAAACACAAATAATAACATAAAGTAAGACATAATTACTATAATATGGTTT